AAAAGCAATTTTGGGGAAGATAGCTACGTAGTGAGCATTTGGCTAGCACTGGAAAAAGTAGCACAATCATAGTGGTAAAACAGACCTAATAAGAATACGTTACAAACAGAACAAATATGAAGAAACATGCAAAACATTTGATCTTTGCTGAGAATGTTTTTGTCACAACAACAGAAAGTCCTGGAATACAAATTCCAATGTTCTTCATAGAAAACTAGATTAGACAGCCAGCAGAATAAACTGTAGGACCTAAATACCATGAAATACGGTTGGTCAGTTAAAAACCAGAAATACTATTCAGAACCAGAGCAATAGCCACCGCATATTAACAAGTGAGTAAAGGGCTTACATTGCTGCCCTATTTTGTAAAACAAGCAATAAAAATTATATACACACCTGTATGCAATTATAGGAATATGAAGAACTATTTTCAGCCCAGAATTTTCTCCACCAATGCAGGATCACTGAATGAAAACAAATAAAATAAAAACCTCAAACCTAGGAGACTTGGAAATAGAAATTAACAAAAGAAGTCTTTAAAACTATCTCAGTATGTTCACTTTGCACATACCTTCAGAAAGCTCCTTCATCTAAAGAACTCCCAAGAGTACAGGCATGCAAAAAATCCACTCTGATACACACCTGGGAGAGCAGGTTTTTGGCAAGGCAGTTGATCCCACCAATAAAAGCCATATTGGGCATGGTGGGCCTGGGATACTCATTCACAAAGTCAGTTCTGAGCAGCCAGATAGATGCAGAAGCCAGAAGATCCTGGATAGTCACGTCTCTCTGAAGGACTTCTGAAGCAAGGAGCGAATAGGGGGAATAAACCATATTGCACATGACTTTCTCTGTCAAGGCAATGAGCACATTCTTCACCCGCTGTGGGAAGCTCATGCGATCTGGGTTCAAGGACATAGACCTAGGCACATAAGACAGTGGGTTGGGACATTGGGTGGCTTCAAAGTGCAGGCCACATGGCAATGCATTCAGGAAGAAAACAGCAGGCAGAGCCAGGTACTGAGCCACAATGGCACCACAAGGGAAGAAAGGGTCGGTCAACACAACATCGAAGCTGCTTTCCACCAGGGAGGCCATCAGCTCCTTGTTGTGCATGAGGTGGGAACAGCCAGAGAAGATCATAGCAGAGTCCCTTTTGACTTTCTTGTATATTTTAATCATACGCTGCAGGAAAGGATAGTTCCCAAAAGTATCATGGCCAAGTTCAACAAAACTGGCCTCCACGTCCTCACTCTGGAATGGCACAGGGTACGTCTTCAATGTGTAAGATGAACCTTCTTTTATGTACAACAGGGCCTCAGGGGCCATGACCACAATTTCATGTCCATTCTGCTGCAGCTGCGGGATGACTCCGAGCATGCTCAGCCAGTGACTGCCGTCTGCTGGGACCACCAACAGCTTCCCAGCATGGGACACTGAGGGCCCGAGCACACACAGCAGGAGGCCCAGGACAAGCAGAAGTGGGCGCAGGGATGCCATGGCCATGGTGCCCTTGGCTTTGCTCCCCTTCTCCTACTCTCATATAGCCAGAAGTTAGTACACACTAAGTTAATGTTTGATCGTGTCATATGATTGAAGCCACCCGTCCGCAAGGACAGCAGGAAATTTTGGAAATGATTGACTGGTTTTCTTGATAGGCCACAACAGATGAGTTGGGTGGAATTCCATCCTCAAACCACATTCTTGAGTAAGAACAGAAAGCAAAATATCTCTAGCCCTTTGGATCCATTAGATATTTTCAGAGATCAAGAAAATATTATGAGAGAGGAAAAATGACCACAAGGTGACAAAGTAGACTTCTTTTCCAGAAATAAGACAATATTTCTTAGCCTTTTGGAAACAAAAGAGTCTGCCAGTGCAGCTCCCCTTTGGACTGTGGAGGTCAAAGCATTCTCCTGCATCACTCACTCAGGGCACTGCCTTACCACTGGCACTGAGTTTTAGTTCATTTATCTCACAAATATGTATTGAGCCCACCAAAGGATGCAGATCAACAAATACAAGAATGAGAATTTGTATTTACTGAGATTGTACGATGTGCAAAGCACTGTCAAGCTAAGCATTCTACAACACACTTCATGTAATCCCTTAGAACTGTCCTGTGAGACAGATACCACAGTATTTTCCTCATTTTACAAAGATACTGAGACCAAGAGGGGCAAACAGATATTCCAGAGTCCTGTATTTCCTCAGTGGCAGAGCTAAGACCTGGGCCCTAGTTATCTGTGCCCAGAGCTCTTAGTTCTTAACAACTCTTGCAGTCTCTATATTGGAATTCCAATTCAAATTGGAATTTGTATTCCAGTATGGAGAGTGGTACCCAAGTCCTTCATTGAAACTTACAATGAATTATAAGTCAGAAAGAAAGCTGTGATCCCCAAGTCATTGTCCAATTAACATAAATGCAGAAAAGGCAGACAAAAAGGCCACAGTGAAGGAGAAGGTACACACACAGCAACAGCTGCTGTCCTAGGAGATCAGGCAGGGTCAGCCCCTGCTGAAGAAGAGGCCAACCAGGGTGAAGACAGAGCTGAGCATGACATGCCTTTCTTTGGTGACCCACTGCTGTTCTATTCCATCCCAGAATGAAAGCATGGACCCCAACATCACTGGCCATTCATCCCTGTAGTTATGCTGCAAGGGTCATGGAGAAAGGGCTAACTTTGAAGCTTTGGTGTCCCATGGAGGCACTTCTTATTCTGGTACTCAGTTTCCCTTTTCCCGAAGCCAGCATCCTTCATCAACAGCCCTCTAGATTTGGATGTGCTTCCTTAGGGGTGCACACACATGCCCCGAAGCTTCTGCCCAGCCTCAACACTCTTACTCAGGCCTAGCAGAAAGATGTAGCAGTGCTTTTGTTCTTTATTGAGCCCTCCTCTGCAATTGTGAAATCTTCAATTCGAGTTAAACTTTAAAAGCAATAATTTTTGATAGGTTTTCCAAAGTCCCAAAGTTATGAGAGTTCATCTGCAGATCACATGATAGATATCACAAACTCTGTTGCCACTATAATGATCTTGTGACTTTTCTTTCATCACACCAAGCCTCAGAGCTATTTATCTATTGGATCTATCTATTTATTGTGTGGTGTTGGGGATCAACACAGGGCCTCACACACGCTAGGCAGGTGCTCTGCCACTGAGCTAAACCCCAGCCCCTGGAAGTGTTTTGAGGCTGCTGTATACCTACTTGGTTTGGGGCCACCACTCTGCCCCTACTCAGGAAAATACTGTTTTCTAATCTGAATCTCCAGCAATCCACATCCTTCCTCAAACTACTATGCAAACCACTGCTACATAACCCAACAAAGCTTCCACCTTGTGGTCTTGGGAGACCTGACACTTAAATTCCATTGCTAATTCTCTCTTTCACCAAATCTTTAAGGACCTGTGAGCCCTACTCCATTAGAGACACAGTGTTACGAGCAGGCTCAGAAAATCAGGTAAGAAATGGCCTCTGCTATAAGGTCCAGCAGGCAGAAATAAACCAGGCAGTTATAGGGCAGGGTGGGATGTGCTCTGGCAGAGGAGGAAGAAGAGAACAGGGGAGCAACCCAGCCTTGCTTGGGAGGCTACTGAGGAGTGGGTGTCTGTGAAAGAAAGGTTCCTGGAACCCACAGGGAGGTTCTTTGCTAAGTGACAACTAGAAGTTAATAGTCCCACCACTTGGGACACTCTCAACTCCTCTGATCAGCTCAGAAAAGGGCTCCCTACCAAAGCAGCAACATCCACACTCCATTTTCCTAGACCTTGAGTGGAACATTCCAGAGGGAAACAAGGCTGTCTTCCTCAAATTTCTGCAGCATTTTCTTCTGTTCTGCCTTCCACCATTGAGTGCTTTGCTACCCGGCTACACAGAAATGCAGGTCTTCCTCACAGGTGGGCTTCCACTCTGGAACTACCGTCTCACTTGCACAGACAGCGAGCACTTCTATACGGACCAACTTCCTTTCTTCTGCTCCAGGTGGCACAGCCAAGCAAGTGCAGAATCTGGATGATTCTACCGCTGCCTCTTGGGCCAGTCTGCCATGATTCTGTTCCAAGGCCCCAGGCCTGTTCCCTCAGCCCCTCCAGCTGGCCTTCTAATTCAACCTGTCAGCTGCCCCTGCCCTGCCCCACCCCACCGGCACTTCTGGCACCTTGGTCAATAGCTTCCCAGGGCCCATAAGAAAACTTGCTCTTCAGCCTTGCCCTCAGGACTTCCTGGAATGGACCCCAGTCCCCTGTCCCAGCTTATTCCTCCTCTCTAGCCCTTCTGCCTGATC